AAAGTGCTTCTGAAAGTGTTTCACAGTTGGGTGTGGTGAAATTCGTGCATTCCCTGTTGATTGTGGAAATCCGTATCACAAAATAGCCCACCGATTCCTTTGTTTTGCCGTTCGACGACGACGGGTGTTTTTTTGTAACTAGCGTAAGTGTGCCTGCGATTTGCATTGAGTGTCGGAGATTGTGAGTAAGCTAAAGGATGTCTCGCTGGATACGCCCAAGACTGGACGGGCGGTAGCTGGTGGCCGTGAACGGTTCTTAGGGAAAGCACTCGATGCGACCCTCCTCCCAGATGACCATGGCAATACAGGAAGTATTACAACAAAGGTAATTGCTATTAGAAATTTTGCAAACAGTGACATATAGCGGACATGAAGAACCAGTGGAGGTGCCGGGCAAAGGTGTTTATCCTACACGGCGAATGAGAACCCAAATTTGAGTTTAGTTCACTCATAATCGCCAAAAGTGCAGGAACTCAGCGATGAGTAAAATTTGTCTCATGGTTTCCTGTGGAAAACCTAAAAATTCTGCCGAAAAATGAGGAAATTGACGAAAATTTTATTCAGTCTCGGAGTAGTACCAATAGACTGAGTGAATCTATTATTTACTTTTCTCAAATTTGGGAATTTTTCCCTGGAAAACCCTGGAAAAACCTGGAAAAACATAAGGCAATTTACTCATCGCTGAGTTCCTGCGCTTTTGGTGATTATGAGTGAACTAAACTCAAATTTGGGTCGTTCTCATTCGCCGTGTAGACGAATGCTAATTTACAAATTCGCTGTTGTTGTCGTAGCCGCCGTCGTAGTCGCTGTCGTAATTGCCGTCGTAGTCGTAAGCAGTACCGTGAGTATATTTAAAATTAACCATGAACCACTGAAAATATGAATTATCGCGTATTTCTGTTGCTTATTACATGCCAAGTGAAATTCGTGAACGTAATTTCATTTCAATAGCTTGTTTAACCAGGTCTTAAACAATCGTCACGTCGGTCATAGCTTGTAATGATTGCCTGAACCATGCGTAAAGAGAAAATCGAAACTTTGAACGTCGCGTGAAAGTGGATCTTAATGAAGGCCTAAGTACTCTTTCGTAACTTTTAGTTTTAGGATTTCAAAGATCGTCGGTTGCAGTGGCTTTCTTACTGAGCAAAAAAACGCGGTCCCGAGTCCTTTCATATTAAAAAATGTATGGCAAGATCGCTTGTTTATCGTGTATTTTGTAAAACTTTTCGTTGTAGTCGATGCCGGGTTTGAATAGTAATCAAAACTTGAGTAACGCTATAATGTGATATGAGGGGCTCGGTGGCCTTAGAGCAACCGGTTTTGCTTTCTGAGCAAAACATCATGAGTCTAATCTCAAGCCCATCCACATTCAAGATTCGTCAATCGTTTTATTTGTTAACATGACTACATGGTAATAACAGCAACCCGATGATTAAAAAGGAGCTCGTCTGCCTAGTGACAAACGTTTTTGCTTACTGAGCAGAAGACCGTGGGTTCAATCCCAAGCTTCTTTGCGTTATATGATTGTTTTTTGTTTTTTTTTTTCGTCGATCTTGTTTTCCGTGCTGAGCACCAATGCTACCGACGTGCCAGGAAGGCAGCTCCCACACCTGGACCCTACCTATCGACCCATCAACTCATGAACCGGGGACCAACGGCTTTACTTCCCATCCGAAGGAAGGCGTGATCAGAGATGTTATGCCTTAGAACATCCCGGCGGCGCCGACTGGGATTGAACCCAGGCCTACTGGGGTGAGAGGTAATCACGCTTACCACTACACCACCGGCGCCGTTGCGTTATATGATTGTTAGGACATTAATTCAGCTTATCGTTTACCAAAAAAAACCCTGCTGCAAACCCAACCCTATTACCCAATATCCCATTGATTCCTCGAGGAAGTGCAGAGGTGTTCTTGGCTTCCATCAAAGCGAGTGTCACGTCAACACATTCCTACCCCTTCTTTTCTTGACCTGTGTTGGCCTATGGATCTAAGATTGGGACTATCGCCAAAAATCTACTATTTATCAATTGTATGTAAATGAACGCGTCATTGGAACGGTACCAATGGATTTTTTTGGTTGCTATTGAAAATTTAGTCGATTACTGAATTTAAGTATGGACCCAAATAAGGGATACTTAGGCCGACATTACATAAATATCCCCTATAGCCCATAGACTATTAATGGAACACACCATAATTAAAACTTCTATCATAACTAGAACACCCACCCTAGGTATGATCCATAAAATTAACATATATTTTTCATATTTTCTTAAGAATATTATTATGGAAGCTTCTTTTGGAGTAATACCTCAATGAAAACAACAATGAAACCTTGTCACGCAAATAGAAGGAGCGCTGTTGGGCACTTACTGAAATATTTCAATGGTATAATTCCCCTGCAAACCCAAATAAATCTATCTGGGTAAAAATAATTAAAATAAGAGTGATTTGCGGCAAAACACGCCAGTATCGCACCCAACGTCAGTGCCTATACGTAAGCGTACTACACAGCTAAAAAAAAGTAGTGTAAATTTCCGTTACTATGATGCACATAAATGGAGCGTCATATATCATACAAATTTAGATTATAGATCGTGTAAATTTATGAGACATATCATGCAATATCCCATATATTTTATGCAACTGTCCACTTTTGTTTGCAACATTTCTTGCAAGTTGCTAATTTACGTGAAAAGGAAGTTTACATGTATGAATGTTTGCATGCATGGATGTTTACATCGCCAGTAAAATTCAGAATTTTTTGGTGTGTACGACGCGGCTCTCAATTAAAGGAGTAACAAGTGTGATACTATCACTGCTAGACTAGATCTTTGGTTCTCTCATGCAGTGGTTCATCAGAGAGGGGAAGCTTAGTAATCCCCATCGCCTGCCCGTGGCGCCATTCTATCGCGGCATGAGCCAGTAACGCCGGCCATTAGCCTACCGTCTCCAACACTCCACTATAAAGCATGAAATTAAGCCCACCCACCAGCAAAAAGGTGCAAAAACTAGCCAAGGGGAGGGACATTATCACCAGGTATAAAGTTCGTTCTTTATTGAAATCCCATCTCCAACATCAACTTGACGGTTAAATCTTCATGGACGGCTGTCAAACAAACTCATCACGCTCAGCAACAAACACAGTAGGATAATAATAGCAACAGAAAGCTTTCCAACACACAAAACTCAACGCATCACGGTCATCATCAACAGGAGCAACACAAATCTAGATAAACATTACAAAAAGTCTTATCTGCATTGCTCGATCCTCTTAATCGAATTTCTATTTCGTGGATAACTTAGCTAAAAAACCAATTTTATTTGTCGTTTTGGGCGCTAGATAAGAACCTCTTCTCAAACCGATTGGGACACTGGAAATCTTGGACGGTGGTTACACTGAATGATTCCTAATGTTGCTTCGAGAGCGTGGTTTAAAGGCTTGACTTATGTCCAAACACTACTCGCTAGATGCTCATCTCAATAGAATAAACCTCGTGGACAAACAGTAACGATGACATCGATCACGTAGTTTGGCAATGTACGGATAATGACGCTGCCAGAGAGCGACTTTTGAATACCCTCGAGGCCCAAGGAAGACAACCCTATGTCTCTCTTTATTAGTTTTTTTTTGTCTTGTCCCACAGTCTTGATGAGTCTCATCTTCGCCCACTGGTCACCCACCATAGCCGATCGAACTCCAGACGAATGTAGAACCGTTGGTTGTCTATTCAGAGCGTTGTCGCAAGTATAAATAGAAGATACTTGCGACAACGCTCTGAAGAGACAACGAAAACCCACCCCTAATCTCCTCCCCTGATCCTATCCTTCGACAATGTACCCTTCTAACCTCAAGTAAACCACGAGTATTTGGCCCAACTTCTACTAGACATAGAATGAAGTGATTTTTTTTACAAACATTGAACAATGAATTATCGGCTCCGTAAAGCTAACGCGATTGAGCCTTCCAAATAAAAGAACTGGATAAAAAAAAAACAACACAATAGTAACAATAGCGCAAAATCTGTTTGCATAGCAGTGGTTATCAAAAGTGAAAGTCGATGAAGAGAATCGATCAAAGCAGATAGGACCTTTTGAAATATTCATCGAGAAAAGGGAACGAACACTAGAAGTCGAGAAGAGCAGCAGTTTGCAGGTCCGTACGTAATGAAGTTCGTGTATTGTACTAATAATGCGTAATATTATTAGCATTTTGCCCGATGACAGGCAATACTAATATTTCGTAAAATTTACGAAAAATATGTTATATCTATGAAACTCTTTTTTACGGAACGAACGTAATAGAATTTACGAAAAAATATTTTCAGTGTAGATACATGAAAGTTATCATTATGCAATCTACGAATTACTCCGTTACAAATGCAACACAAAAAATAAAATATTGAAATGAAGTAACATAAACTATTATATTGTATTTGTCATTAAACAGTATTTTCAACTTATTTATAAGTAACAGTGTTGATTGGATACTATAGATACTATTATTTGTTTATTATGCAGCACCGTAAATCAGCAAAATGCGCACGCTTAGTCCATAAATCCGGACACTTTTCAATGTTGATTACCAACGTCTGCCATGTTTAAAATAGCACGTTAATATTAAAATGACTTTATGTCATCGTTCAGAATCATCACACATATGTGTAATGGATGTTGTACAGTAGACGTAATAATTAATTTAGTTAATTTAAAACGACTGACTGGAAACGAAGCATTGAGGTGTACTATTCTATGATAACTGCATAATTGCCAATCCAGTGATAAGATATAGAAAAGGGTTCTGCATTTTTCAGTTACAGCTAAAATAAAAAAAAATAATGCTCTGGATGGCTTCGCACTTTCAGTAGATATTTACATCAAATCAAACACGAAAACATATAAGGATTTATACAAATCGGTGTTGACATATACAAAGCAAAATCAAATTGAATGTTGATACAATCGGCCTTATATCTTAACTGAGACAATCAAACTCACCTCCCAGTCCGGCTGCACTCAGATTGTTCAGCATGTTAGCTGAGAAGTTTCTTATGGACAATGCCGACAGTTTGAAGCTCTCGTTACGTTCAGCACAATAATTCTATTCCTGCAATTTCCTCCGACCGATAGGTTTCTTCTTCCCGAACCACTCACTCGAACAGCTTCATGTTCATTCCAAAAATTCAGTTATCATATTTTTTATAAAGAAATTTAATCACTCTCCAGTTGCATTCTATTTCTGTCTTCACCAGAACATCGATTCTAACCAGCACAGTTATAAAAGTCGTATACACTTTCAATTACGCATATCCATTTCCGCTAAGCTCTCTCACTGTTTAATTATGCATCACTCGAGTAACGATCTGGAGATCACAGACAACGGCGACGGTGATGGCATCAGCGTCGTTGACCCGCGCTCGCCCAATTTGCACCACAGAACACACCCTGACGTGGGAAGATTCACTTTCTGCAGGCTCACGTGTCTTCCCCTGTTTTCTTCCAGACCGAATGTGTTTGTATATTCACCTTCTCCAATGGAAGCAATGGAAAGAGGGAAAAAAATGTCGAAAGCAACCAGCAGCACACTTCTCACGCTTATTAATTAGCCTATATTAATTAAATGAGTAACAAACCAATTTAATTCATTACAGGGCGCAGCGTGCACTGAACAAGCCGAAGGGAAATTATCTATCAAAACTCCGGCAGGTGGCGACGACCTTCCGAGCGAACGACCGACCGACGGCTTGAGCGATCCAACAGGCAATGATGGGCTCCGGAGTGTTGTCTCTGGTCTGATGGGATTTAGAGTTTCAGTGTCTGATTTGTCCAAATGGGAGAACCCATCGCCGGCCGTATAAGGCCCTCATAGGAGCGGGAGGGTGGTGGTGAGGCAATCTCCGGAAGTGGGTCCACCGAAAACGACGACACAACTGCTGGGGAAGCAGGCTTGAGGCACCGGGTTCTTCTTTCCGTCTCAACTCCGTTGGAAATCGGTTAACCACCCGCAACACACTATATAGAGAAGAAATACAACGCACTCCGGACGGGATTCGCTGCAATACTGAACGGCAGCATCCAGCGACAACGCGCGCAACAGTCGACAATATCAGCTTTGCCGTGGTGACCAACAAAAAAAAAACATAAACCGGTCCTACGAGCGTATCACAGAACGCTTACAGATACAGATAGCAGCTTGGTTCAACCAGATAAACGAGCTGATCTCCAGCCGTGCTTGGTAGGTGCCAACTCAGATACTAACGGGCTACGGTGGAGATTCGTTTCATTTCGGTCACGCTTCCATGGCTCATCACTTATTCATAGCCATTCCAGGGTGAAGCCGAACAGACGTCTCTTTCTATCGTCACCCGTGGGGGCGTGGCCAACCTACACAAGCCAACTGAGTGTGTCAACATTTTATATTAAAAGCACGTGATTTTAATAAACCTTCACCAAACAGTAAACACTGGAATGGTGCAATCTTTGAAATTAGATCCAAACCCGCCGTATATTTGAGCTAATCAAACTTTTACCATTCATCTTCTTGATCAAAACATTTCTTCTTTGAGTATCGAACGTGTCCGTTGAATAAAAAGAAAAAAAATATGGCGCCCCTTGCAGATCACAACAATCCAAGAGTTCGAACGTTTCCATCGCGCTGGCTGCTGTGAGCAACAACTGGGCACCACCGCTCGCTGGCAGCCGATGCGATGCGATGCTTGGCATGGAAAGCGCGCTGGTGGGCGTGGCTTCGCTGCTTCCAACCATCATTATCGCCATCATCATCGTCAATCTCGCCGGCTGGTTGTGCATTCCATTCCAGGGCCTGCGCTGTATCCTTTTTCATCCTCTTCGCCTACAGGAATTTTGCTCTGTATGCACTTTCACGTTGCTGAGTGATGATCGGAATGCCTTCCCGTTCCGTTCCTTTCTTCGACGTCGGTCGTCCTGGCTGGAAGAGTAATTTTTCTTCCGAGGATGCTGGATTTTAGGTTCTGTATTTTTTTACTCGTATACGTTGATTTGAAACTGTTGCAGGCTCTCGAAAAAAAAAATAACCATCAGGACGGCGTCCGGAGAGTCCGGAGAAAAATGGACATTTTTCCTATACTCCAGTTGTACCCATTCTGCAAGCCGACCGACACGTAGGACGTGTGGATGGTGGAATGTTGAGCATTGTTTTTTTTTTTCTGGTGTTGCTTTTAGAAAGCTTGGAAGTTCAAAGCCAGGGTATTGTTTGGTGGTGGCAAGTATTGACATTTCGAACGTTTGGAGGTTCTAATTTCATATTTTTTTAGATTTCCATCTAATATATGTTGAGGTGGATATTCGTTATAGGGTAACTGATGATGGTTGGACCTATTTAGGCCGGTTTCACACGACGTCAACATTCTGTCGTATTTTTTTATGAATTCAACGTATAATTATGAAAAATACGTGCTTAGGGGAAAGATCTACCTTTCTTGTTTCTAATAATAACATAAAAAGTTAAATATTATGAACAAATGATTTTATAAAAGGTTTTTATTCAGCAAAGAATTATGATGTTGGTTGGACCTATACTGATCTTGGTTGGACCTAAAATATGATGATGGTTGGACCTATTTTTGCAAATGCTAATTTAGCCCATATATGTTCAAAAATTTTGTTTAGAGCTTATTGGTATCATGAAAAAACCCTTTTCATACAGTTTTTTTTTAAGAATTTGCTATTTAAAAAAAAATTCAATAAATTTGAGTTTAGCTTTGTTTTTAAAATAGCTCACTTTCCACGCATTAGCTATTCATCATGGCTCATTTTCTCGGAAATCATTGACCCGATTTGGAAATTTTTTAACGTCAAACTATAGGTGTTGTGGTCCCATTGAAAGCTATTGAATATTTTTGGAATCGGTCAACTGGTTCCGGAGATATGGCCGAAACAAGTTCCAGGGTATATGGAACATGAACCTAATTTTGACATGGAAGGAATAAAACCTATCATGCGACACATTGCCTTGGATGATATTGGCCACTTCCGGGCATGTTTTGGGTGCCCCCGGGGAATTTAGGGGCTTAAAATGACAGAATATCAGAACTTAATTCCGGTTTTATATTTTTTTTCTCCTAGGAGTTTTTTTTTTCGGAAATAAGTTTCAGTTAGCAATTATCAAGTATCTGAGCCTACCGGACGGTACCTACGTTTATGCTTTTTGATGTAAATTTTAAGCTCTAATACTAAGAGGATTCAGCAGGATTTTTTTTTTTTGCATAATTCTCTTAAGGGGGTATTCCCAATCTTTTGCCTTTTTTCGGCCTGTTTTTCAATTAATTTTTTTCAAGGAAAATGAATAGTAATGCGCCTAACTCTTTGAGATTCTTGTTTATTGAACATTAAAGTTTACAAATAAATTTTTTTCGACATAAAAAATACATTATTGACGTCACAAAATGGCGGCAAACAGACCCCCTGTTCGCCGCAAACGCCTGGACGGGCGAAGACTTTTCTCTGGAACGGCTTCATCTGAAACAGATTTCGTGATGAAATTAATAATCTGCATAAGATTCTCTGGAGCTTCTCCCGTTGGCAGCAAAAAATCTTGCAAATTAACAAAATGGCGGCCATATGAAAAAACAGGCGATTTTTAGCCCGCTTTTTTGCAGCTTTAAGGTACTTCAAACAATGTTAAATGTTAATATTTTTGGCTGAAAGTGGGAGAAGCTCCAAAGAATTTAATAAGGAACCAAATGCGCAAAGATTCAAGTCAATATCTCTTATAGTTTCTGAGAAAAATCTTCGCCCGATAAAAAAAAATGTGGTTTCGAGAAAAACGCGTTTAAAGTTTTGACTTTAGTTAAAACCATTTGGGGGTTCTTACCATTAGTCAGCTATGCCTGGACACCGAATTCGCTGATCGGAAAACGGCTTGGGGGGATGAAAGTATATAGTCTAAAGTACAAAAAAAACGTGAAAAAAAAAAATTTGATTTTTTGAAAAAAAAGATCGGGAATACCCCCTTAATAGGAGGAGCTTGAAATTTGCATCAAAAGGCATGAACATAGGTACCATCTTGTATGCTCAGTGCTTGGTATCAATATTCGGCGACTTTGTTAGGGAAAACAGTTTTCCCATCACGGAAACACCTTGTTTTCTGATGATAAAATCACGCATTTTCGTGCACAAAATGCACGGAGTTTTTGGTTAATTCAATAGATAATAAAAAAAAGCAAAAATTGATTGGAGACATTTCTTGCTAAATTGTTAACAATCGCGAGATATTTACGATCAATCATATAAATTCGAGATTTGTTTTTCTAACGTCCTGGAAAAATAACCTTACGAAGTGTTTCGGTTAATTGACATGGTCATGTGGTATTTGGTCATCGCGAGAATTTGTTTGTACCACTTAAATACTTGACACATTTGACCACAAACATTTTGTTGCCGGGTACATTATCAAAGAACTTTGGGGGTGATGTGGCTGGCAGGACCGTTTTGCCGTGATGTTTGAGTAATGCTGAGCTAATAGGGTGTTGAACACGGATGAGGCTAGCGAGCTGTATGTTATTCGAGGGTGTCGCGCTAGGAATAGATGGCCCACAGCGACTAACGAAGATGGATCCCGATCAGTAAAGGTGAGGCTTCTTCCTACATCTTCGGTGAATGAACGCTCATGTTGGCTGCAGCTCGCTGCTTGCGGGCAGCCTTTCGTTGTGTACAATGTTCAACGCCACGCGCCAAAAACACTGTTGCTGCTGCTGCTGACGACCGACCGGACGCCACCACACACGGTCGATTGAATAAGCACCGTCAGTCCGCATCGTGCTCTCTTGCCGTGCGGATCTATTTGCTTTTTGCTGAAGGAAGTGTTACTACTACCTAAAGCTACAACAAATTTAAACAGCACTTTTCAGTGCTCAACCTGTAAAAAATTTCTACCTTGTTCAACTCTTATTCCTCTTCGATCCTTGTTTGGACTCTACCCGAGGTAATCCTTCTTGGATATCGATTTGGAAAATTCCTCTTCGATCCTTCAGATTCTTATAGTAATCTGCTTGGAAGTCGATTCGGATAAAAATTTACTGCCGCCATGGCGCCTAAACGCAAAAGAAAGGGGCAAACTCTTGACCCCACTTCTGATGAAATTAATTTGAGTAATCAATTTGATTTGCTCACGGATGATGAGAATGATCCATCATCCAAGAAAAATTCTAGTAAACTTTCCCGGCTTAATGCCAAGAAGGAAAAGATTCCCCCTATTGTGATAACCACTACCGATTTCCATGCTCTTCGCATGGAACTTTTGAATTTCGTGAAAGTTAAGTTTTCACTACAAATTGGACGTCGGGGTGAATGCCGTGTATTGGCTGAAACCTTGGACGTATTTAAATGTCTTCTCAAGTATCTTACTGAGAAGAAGCACAATTTTTTTACTTACGACACCAAAACTGAACGTGTGTTCAAGGTTGTCATGAAAGGACTGCCCAGTGGTGAATCCCTGGATCAGATCAAAGATGAATTGGCAAAATTACTTGGAGTTGTGCCACTCCAAGTAATCAAAATGAAAATGAAATCCCGTCCTGGCGATTCGCGCAACGGGATTTCTAATGATTTTTATTTAGTTCACTTCAAGTCTAGTGAACTAAACAACCTTAAGGCCTTAGAAAAAGCTAGCCTTATGCTCCATGTACGAGTGAAGTGGGAACACTTCAGGAAGACTGGAGGAAATTTCCAAAACCTCACCCAGTGCTGTAAGTGCCAGGGATGGGGTCACGGAACTAAAAATTGCTACATGCCAGCTAAATGCATGAATTGTGGTGATTCCTCTCACGCAAAGGACGACTGTCCAGTGAAGGAAGATCCTAAGAAATTTAAATGTTCTAATTGTGGTGAAAACCACAAATCCAATTTTTGGGAATGTAAGACTCGCAAAGCGATCCTACAATCTCGTTCTAACCGTCAGGTAGGAAACGCTCCACGTTTCCGACCAGGTACAAATTCCTCTGCTGTTAACAACGGTCAGCGAGGAACAAATTCTACATTCGTACCCGTAGGTACAAATATCACCCCTGCTTCAAATGTTTCATCTGTACCTACTCCCCTCGCTGCTAACAATGTTCAACGAGTTAATGGAGCTACCTT